AGGTGATGCTGAGTCTTTTGGTTTACAAAGGGCCTTATTAAATTTAAATTTTCTTTTTTATTAGCAGCCTGACAAATATCAACAGACATGACATTTCCCTATACAAAAAAAAACACAAAACACAAAAAAAGAAAACTGCATATGAAACTGAATCTCCACTAAGTTCAGCTTGATTTTTTTGTATATTTATTGCCAGTTTAACATGGTAGTTCCAAAATTCCCCTTCTGCATTTTCTTAACTTCCTTTTGATCTTTTTTGCTTAATTTTTAACAGTTCACTGATCATTTCCTTTTTCTTCCTTTAGTATTACTATTACCTCCAAATCCTGCTTAATCTCCCCCTAAAAAAGTCCTTCTGTGTAGCAAATTAAGTATAATCATGTAAAACAAGCTCTCACATTGGTCATGTCTGAAAATATGTTTCACTCTGCACCTCTAATCCATCACCTTACTTCCAAGAGGTGAGCACGTGTCTTTTGGAATCATGATTGATTGCATGAATCAGAGTTCTTAAACTTTTCACAGTTACTTTTCTTTACAATGTTACAGTTGCATAAATTGTCCTGGGTCTGCTCATATCACTTTGCAACAGTTCATACAATTCCTCTCAAATTTCTCTGAATCCATTCCTTTTTCACTTTTATGGGACAATAATGTTTTATTATATTCACATATCATAATTTGTTGACTTATTCCCCTTTGTTTTCATTAGAAACTTCTTTTTATCACTGACCTCTTTGGCATATACTCCTAGTAATACTCCTCTAGTTTTTACATTCCTTTTCATATTATCTTCTATTTCTTTATCCAATCACACGCTGTATCCCCCACATCAGAATGCAACTCTTTGATAGCAAGAACTTTTTTTTTAACCAAGTGCCTATGGGGTAGAATTGAATTTAAAGGAAAAACACTTTAAGGAGCACTTATCGAAGGGTAGCACAGTCTTTTCATTGAACAAAACAAACAAAAAAACCCAGCTACAAGCATGGAGCTGATCCATTTTGAAATTTTGGACTTTTTGTAAATCAGATGATAGTTGGCATAGCTCACCTTTACTTGATTATAATCATAACCAAAGGTTTTCCAGCATTGTAGGACCTGACAGGCTTTTTATATTCTTTGGAATAGCCTTTCAGAAATCAGGGTTACCTCTAAGTCAATCAAGAGAGTAGCATGTTAAATTTTTTTTAAAAAGCCTCAACCACCCAATACACAGGTACAACTCCTCATCTTTCCCCCTAAAACCTTCCCCTAGACACTAGTTTCTCTATGTTTGTTGATGGCACCATCACTCACTCTCAAACACTCACATTTGAAACTTATTTTTCTCATTGTCCACATCTAATTCAATTCAATAAACACTTATTAAGTCACTCTGTGCAAGGCACTGGGGATTCTAATATGGAAGAAAACTCACAGAATTCCTGTTTACAATCTAAGAGGGGAACACAGAAGGAAGATTAAAACATATACACAAATAAGCATAGTACAACATGGAGTGATATAAGGGCAAATGAGACAAAGCCTTATAATGTGGGCAAGAGACCACTTGTAGCTGGTGCATATGAAGACAAAACCAAAACCATTTCTGCCCCCAGGAGCAGGCTGTTGGTGCTTTGCACGTCCTTCAGTGAATCAGATCTCAGCAAGATGGGTTGGTCCTCCTTTCAGTACTGCAGATCATAACCCATCTGTGCTTTCTTATCCTATAAGATGCTTGTCCATGTCTGCCTATGGATTGTGAGAGAATAGCAGTAATGGAGGAAAGCAGAGGTGCTAAGAACCATAGTTTTTATAAAAACATGACCTTAACTATTGGTACTCAAAATGTGAGATCTTTGCCCAGTGACCAGTGAGAAGACATTCAACTAGAAAAATTGAACCATATTTCCCACAGATCAATCTAGAATATTTCTCTAGGTCTCAATGTTCTGTGGGAAACAGTGTGTCACTTAGGATGTCCATTTTTTCCCCCTCATTACATCAACATGTCAGCCCACATCCTTTTCTGATCATAGACTTCCTGGATGATAATTTTTTTGTGCTTCACAAAGTTATCCTCTGATGCCTCACCATACTGTTCAAGTGACTCTGGGTTCTAAATTATCATGCCCATTGAAATTCAAGATTTGATAGGTTCTGTCATGACAGAAGGATTTTGAGTATAGTTCCCCAAACAGATTGTCTCATTTACAGAAGCCAGTTTAAGTACAGAAAGGCTCATCACTAGTAGGGTAACCCCCTGGGTAATAAATTCCTTGGTCCCTGGCAACCCATGAAAAAAAAAACCACAAAAAGGCTTCCCCCACTCCTCCATTCTTTTGTTCCACTTTGGTTCAACTGTAATATCAGGTCTTCAGAAATAACTATTTATAATATATGGTATGACTGGAACAATATTGATGATTTTAAAATGTTGCTTATGGGTAAAATGGAAATATGTTTTGTTTGATTTCAGTGAATAATGGGAATCATTATTTCTTGCCTTCTCAATGGATGGGGGAATGGCTGGAAGGAGGGAGAGAATTTGGAACTCAACCTTTTAAAATGAATGCAAAGAATGATAAAAAGAAAATCAAAATTAAAAAATGTTGTTATTGCATTTTTGTCCCAGGCAGTAGTTTATGACTGTTGAAAATGCTATGCAATTTCTCAAATTAAATCGTCTACTTTTTCCTCCATATTCCACTCTGGCCCCAAATCATGATTCATCTGTAGCACCTGTCCAAGTATATGCACTAACGGACACATACAATGGGCTGCCGTCCAATTACATGCCACTTTCTAGACAAGAGAAATTAACTATTTGGGTTTTCCTATGTGGATTGTTAAACTGCTGTCTTTTGAATGGTCATGGATTTTTGTGAGAAAGCTCAAGAGAAATGATACCAAACTCAATAGAAATGGGAACCATAATAAGGTTCCCTGAGAGTCACATTTGACTTAGAAAACTACATATTAATGTTATCTATATTTTACTGTATTTTCATTAATTGTGTTAAATATTTCTCAATTACATTTTAATCTAGTTCAGGATATACTCAGGAATGTTGTAGGCCACATGGGGCCTGTGGGACTGTGTACTTGATACCCCTGCTTTAGAATATCATGGGGCTTATTGCACTGAGCATAGCATACTTTGTGAATAGGTGTATCTAAGGAACTTTAACATCTGTAAGATATGTTCCTCATCCAATGACTCTACACTGGACATCCTCCATAAGAGTGAATAGCTTCCTGCTTTATGCTGTATTTGATATACATAATCATAGGATTGTTGATCAAAGTTATCTTTGTGGTTGCACTTATCAGGGAATTTTTATGATCTTAACATATGCATGATATATCTTGTTAAAGATATTTTGTTTTACTCAGACTTTTATCTTGAAGAAATGACAGGATTTTTACATTCTCTGCATCTTTCAGTCAGCTGGGTGACTGAAAACATGATCTATAAAAAAAATGCTGCCTGTTTCCTTGTCATATTTTTATCAAGGATTCCTTAATATACATTTAGACCATTCTCATAAAGTTATATCTTTATGAGAATAGTCTTCATGTATGTACTCTCAAATGTCTTTTGGGAGTGGGGGTGGTAACATTACTACCCGTGATTTTTCCCATTCACTATCTTCTCTTCATTCATAGATCTTGAAACTTATTTCTTAACGCTTTTAAAACGGTACTGTTTTCAGCACAGACCTCTTCTCTATGTACTTGGTCTGGTTTGACTGCTCTTGTCTTCATCTTCTTTAGTACACTTTCCACTTCTTAATTCAATGTATCAAGAACTGGAATGTTAAAGTCCACATGTGGTAGTTCCACTGTCATCAATGATGAAAAGAAATGCTTACAAATCCATTCCACATTTCATCCGTTTGCTGTTCTCTTTCCAGTTAAATCTATTAATGTTATTTGGATGAGATAGCTCAGCTGGGTGTCAGGCCAAACTTTTTTCAGAATCATTTGCACATCAGAATAGAGACTAGATACCTATGATTGATTAAAGGGAACTCCCAGATAAAGAACTCCCTTGCTACCACTGCAGGTCAGGGTGAGTTGTCCAGAGCTACAATAAGGTTAAATGATTAGCCCAGGGTCATATAGCTAATGTATGTTAGAGGCTGAACTTGAACGCAGGTCTCCTTGGCTTTGGGACTGGGCTCTCTATCCACTATGCCATGATACCTCTCATATGGGTACTTAATGTTCATTGAACTGAATAAATATTCCTAACTGACCAGGAGAGGATAAAACATATATATCCTCTGAAATTGAATAGAATCAAGGATCTTAAGAGTTGGAAGTAACCTCAGGTGCCACTTAACTTAAATTTGTATCTTAAGTAGTCATGTAGCCTTAATTGAAGACCTTTAGTGAGAGGGAATTTGCTACCTCTTGAAGCATACTATTTTATTTTTTATAATTCTGGTTATTAGGAAATTTTATTTTCTAACATTCTGCCTGAATCTGCCTCTCTAACTTCTATCCACTGCCTCCCAGTACTGCCCTCTGGGGCCAGCACTTTTCCTGTTTCAGTAAAAAATAAACAAAGCTCTCTACTAAATTACTTACATACACTTAAAAACTATTAAGAATGGTTCAAATTTTAGGATATTAAGGGATTTTGTTTTGCTTTTAAATTTTTGGCTTAAGAAAATGGAAAAAAAATCACTGAAAGAACTAACTACCGACTGCTGACTTTTATTATGTATGCAGACACATTTCAGCTAGGTGACTTTTTTCTTTTGCTTTGTCAAATAATTATTTTTAAAAGCTAGCAAACATCAGCGCAATATCAAACACTAAGCCTGTAAAGGATACGGGGCTGGAAAAAATAGTTATTCATAACTATGTAGAGTTAACATTATTGAAATGGAAACACAACAAATATGTTCAAAGACTTAATTTCACAATACTTGAAGCACAACTTATTGCAGCAACTGAAAACATTAAAAAAAAACCTGCTGTCAAACAGAACTCAGACTACATTTAGCAAAGGTTAAAAAAGGAGCAATTTAATTATTACAGTTTACAGAGTGCTCTATGAAGTTATTAAAAAGTGAAAAAAAAATAGTGCATTAAATTGCTGCAATCTTTACACCGTAAAAATAAAAGTTAACAGTAGTATGAAAAAAGCCATCCACAAAGCCAGAAGTCTGTAGTGAATAGATCAGATAAATTGCAGTATTTTGGAAATACTTATAAAGCCATATTTAAAAAATAAAAAATAACCATTTATAAAAATGAAAGCAGCATGCATATCCAAGGCTCTTCCATAACTTTCTCTTAGTTGACAAGTGTTTAGGTAAAAATTAAAAGCTTAATATTCATCATTCATTAAATTAGGTGAAACAAACTAGGCAATCCCACTAGATCTGGTCACTCAGAAAAGCATTTTAAGAACAAAATACTCAACTAAACTCTTCTTCCATGAAAACAGCATATTTTTAAAAAATGGTCCTATAGTCACAAACAAAAGTGTCCCTCAAATAGGAATGAAAAGCACCAGTCTTTACAAATAAGTTAATATGAACTATGGCAAAATAGTTGTTAATACTACAATAATTTGCAAGCAAAAGCTAGCTTTTAAATGGCTAATGATACTTATTAGTTTAGGAATTTTTTCTATAGCCACTGAAATTGTTATAGAAGGCAGAACTTGACTGAGAATTCTAGAAAATTCTGGACTGATGCATTATCTGTACATTATTTTACATTATTGTTAAAAAACACTCATTAAGCATATATTTACTACATAATTCTTTTTCACATTTTTGGTACAAAGTTTATTTCAGAGATTCTCTCTGTAAATTCTTATGCCGGCTTTTTCCCTTATTCAGTACATTTTCTTCAGTTTAATGAAAAGCAAAATCAGCCTTTTATTAAAGTAGAAACAGGAGTATTACAGATATTCGTAGCAGCATCCAATGATGTCTTCAACTTGAAAAAGCCAATGACACAGGCCCTGTGGCTTGGGGTTCCAAAATGTATAAATATGCTGCATTTTCATTTATGTGTAAGTTGTACAAGCACGTGCACAACTTTCAAAATTAGTGCAGGGCCTGATGAATAAGACACAGAAATAAATCAGTTTTTTCTTTTTTTTTTTAAACCTGTTTCTAAGAACTTTTACTCTGTAAAATGTTTGGTCACTCAAAGCTATAAGCTTAATCACATATCAAAGAATACAGGCAATAAAGCCCATCTTACTAGAACATACAGTATTAAGCTGGACAAAATTATAAGAGGACAAAATCTAGTGGTCACTTAATTCCCTCAAAAAAACCTAAGAAACAGAACGTTTCCATCTTGCATCAGAATAAAAATGTATTAAAATCTGAATTTTTACAAGTTGTCTTTTAATCAGTGTTCTATTTACAATGCAGAACTTCCGCCAACTGCAGTAGTTTAACTTTGGCACAACACTAAGTTCCATTCCTTTCGAGTATTCAATCCTATGTTATGAGAATGTGTGTATGTCCAAAAATATTCTGAGTTTCATAAAAGATTAGGCCCATTCACAGTAAATCAGATATCTTGATTTCAAGAATTGAGTCCCCTTCACCACTGTAGGTAACTATAAAGGAAAAACATGAGACTGAAAAATTCAAGAAAAAAATGTTAGTCAAAACCATATCTGAATTTTTCTTAAAGCACTTTAGACATGATAACTATAGGAAAAATTAACTAAAGTGAATACATCCTTTATTCTTTCTGGTTATTATTGAAATTACTTGCCACCCACAGTTTACAAAATGCATTAGATTTCACGTATAGCTAATATATGTATAAACTGTATAAGCCTTACATATAGTAACTTTTATTCATGTGAGTAGGGCCTATAATAATTTATCAAAGATGATTAGTTAAAAAAAGTAGATTCTATTTATTTACAAGCTTTGTGACAATACATATAAATGTGTGTATATGTATATATAGAGGGGGGCATTGTGGAGCATAGGGACTGGTATGCTTTTTTATCTGAAAGGCTGACTCATATGTATATATATATATATGTATATTTAAGTGTGTGTGTGTATGTATGTATGTATGTTGGTATATACAAGCATACTTTCCTTTATGACGTCTGGTAAGATGAACCCACATTTTTACTACACTAACAGAATTACCTGTTTGAAACAAAATTGTGATGGGTCTTTTTGTAGTGAAAAATTCTCTTATAATGTATCTGTTTTGTAAATCCAGATTTATTTTAGAAGAAAGGTACCCTAGCTACATGGCACACAAATGCATATGCAATACACATATGTTTTTTGAAAACTGTGGGGTTCTCATGTGAATTTTCTGAACAAAATTAGTATTATTATATTTATCATGCAACATAAATACTGCCCATGCAAGCTGTTAAAGTGATATTACACTTTAGAATAGTGCAAAGAGCTTCATGTTTTCAGTATATTTCAATCCCTTCCCAAAAAATACATCAGGGTCTAAGATAAAGAAATCAACACAGCAGCAATTCTGTTGATTTATTTTGGCTGCATACATATTTTGTCTTTTTTAGAAATAATGGTGAAAGAAAACCTGTTAAAAGAATTTTGTGCATCTGGGTCAGAAGAAGGATGGCATAAATATTTCTGATACTACAAAAAGTCAAATGGAACTTTAGGGTTAATCTATCCAAAATGTTTTAAGTTATGACTTATAATGCTTATGTTATGCTTTATAATCAGAAATGCAGTTTATACTATTAAAGTAGTTGCATTTTTAGTTTCATCTATTTTCATGGTTACAAATATATTAAATTTTACTGTTTTTTTGTTTTGTTTTGGGGGGCTAGGCAATGGGATTAAGTGACCTGCCCAGGGTCACACAGCTACTAAGTGTTAAGTGTCTGAGGCCGGATTTGAATTCAGGTCCTCCTAAATCCAGGGCCTGTGCCCTATCCACTGTGCCATCTAGCTGCCCCCTATGTTAAATTTTATAAACTAGACAAGGGATTGTTCAATAAACAGATAGAACGCTTGTGAATCTGGGGATAACATGAAAGGCAAGAGTAAACAGACTAAGAGAAGAAAGTTATAGGTTCAGGAATGGGGGAGAATGGGGTAAGAGACAATTATGAATACATGCATCATGTGCACAAGACTGAAAAAAGAATCTTTTCCCTCCCCTACTTTATTTTGAGAACAATACAATATTATTAGACAGCATAATGCTACTTCATGTGAATGTTCAACTCTAGTCCTTGATATTGATACACTAACATATTTTATGATAGCTGTATCATTTTTAAACTGTATTTCTATCTTTGAAATAAACAAAATGTTTCAAAATATAAAGAAAAGAAAAAGAGAAAACACCTAATAATCTAAGATGAATATAGATGAATATTGACAGTGACAACCTTTAAGCACCTCCATTTCTAACCTGAAATAAATTTTCCAAATTAGAACTACAGAAAAGTTATAAACAATTGAATTTTGTAGTGGAATTAAAGTTTGGGGAAATGGCCAGATTTTAAAAAATTCAAAGTTTTATTGGTCTAGGGGTATTTCATTCTATGAGGTTTTGGGTTCACAATCAGGCAAAGACTTCATTTGGAGAGGTAAGGTGGAAAAAAAAGGACCGGAGCCAAAAGACTGGCACAAGTTTCAGCTCTGTAATCACCCAAGTGATTCAACACCTGCAAGCCTCGATCTCATCTGCTATATGGGAATGATAATAAGTCCTTACCTCCCAGGTTCTTCACAAGAAAAATACTGTGAACTGCTACACACTACATAAATGTGAACTCTTTATGATGAGATACTGTTAGCCTTGTACTCTGGAGATCCCATTACAAGGAGAACTGCAAGTGCTGATCTCCAAGACACCAAGGACATGCTATTCAGCACTTCTTAAACTGTGGGTCATGATCCACAGTTTAAGAAGCACTGAAGGAGTCACAAGTGGAAGAAGTTTAAGAAGCCCTGCAGTATAGATAACAACAAACAAAACAACTGCCTAATCAAACATAAATTCCTATATGGAATAGAATAGGTCTGTTGGTTTTTAATTGAAGAGATGACTACTCTTACTACGTGAGTCAACTTAAATTCTAAATTAAAAGGCTAATAAATTTAGTGGGTGGAGGAAAGCAACAGGTAAGAGTTCAGTAAAACCTAAAACACAATGAGAAAAAAATAAAGAAATACTCATTTTCACCTAGTTTCCTAAAACTGAGCAATCCTCACCCCTGTAGTTATTCTTTCCTTCGGATATACTTTTCCCCTTCTTTTTAGTTTTCGTTTTTGAATTCTTTCCTTAAATAGGCAAAAAATGAAGCTTTAGTGAAGGGTAGGTTGCAAAAAAAAAAAAAGTAAAACACATTTTATTATTTCTAGTTCTGATCATCAAGTCCCCTCCCCCAAAGGAGTGGGTAAAAATCTAAAACAATTAAAAATACATTTACATATAATATTCATTGGGGAAAGAGATATGTACTTTAAACAATATATACTACTGGATGACACTGGGGACCATTAATTGTGGATAGAATAGAAAATGCTCAGCCTCAGTATGAGAATAAGCACATTATTTTTAGCTAATTTGGGAACAAAGTATTTGCTGGCCATGCTAATAGAATCTGATCCCTTCATTAGATGAAGGAAAAGTAACCCTAGAAGCTGTTACACTGGAAAGTCATTTAAACAAAGGGACATTTCCAAATGCATATAGTTCAAATGTGCACCTACATGTATTAAAAAAAACTTACATTTTAATCATCTGACTTAGAGAGTTTCCGCTTAACATGCCGTGGGGGTTCCCAGGTGTCACTGTCATCTGTTTCTTCATCATCCTCTTCCTGATCATCTATTATCTCATCATCATCTTCATTCTCCTCAAACAGCTCTATTCCTAACTCAGATCTTCTTTGTCTTTCTGCAAACCACTCTCTGACCTGCTCATAACCCATATGTGATTTGGCAACAAGTTCATCAAGGTCTTGCTCATTAAGAAATTTGTGCTTCATATAATAATCCTTAAGTATTGCAGTTCCAGTTTTAAATTTTATGAGTGATGGTCCACGGTCCCAGTTGTTTATCCTTTTGCTTCCTCTAGGCCTCCCACGAGGTCTTCCCCTTCCTCTTCCCTTTGGTCTTCCTCTCCCCCTTCTCCTAAAGGAAGCCTGTCCATTCATACTATTTGAACTGGCACTCTGATAGTAATAGTACCATTTTAAATTCCCATTTTTCCAAGCATATCGTGTATCTCCAAACCAACTAACAATATCTGTTCTAGCAAGCCCACTTTCCTCAGCCAACTTGTCATATTCTTCTGGTGATGGCCACTGTGTTCGAACAAATGCACTTTTAAGTATGTGCAACTGCTCTGGTGATTTTTTACACACTTTGTTTGTGGTAGTCACTGACTTAGGTGCTGCACATTCTTCCTGAGGAGAAGTTTCTCCAGCTTCTTCTTTGGAACTGCCTGCATTGCTTTCATCTATTTCTGTTTTCTCTTCCTTTGAAGCTTTGGATTTCTTTCTGTCTGTAAACCAGGCATCAATTTCTCTCCTGGTAAGTTTGGTTTGTGCTCTTAACCTGTTCAATTCTTCATCAGTAAGGACAGGATTATTGAGGAAACTTGCTTGGAGGATGCGCAACTGCTCTGAAGTTTTCTCTTTAAATTTTTGTGGAGTAAAGTCAGGGAAAGAATTCCCCAGCTGCTTAGTCTGTGGAACAACAACTGTCGGGGATTCTGCAGTCTCGTCACTAGAATCAATAACAATAGGGGTACAAGCTTCACTGTTGAGATGGACACACTGATTACTCTTGGAATTTCTCTGATTATACCTTGTGTCACTAAACCACTTTTTGATCTCGCCTTTAGTCAGGCCTGTTATTTTCATAAGCCTGATTACCTCTGAGTCATGAGGAAACTGATTTTTAAGGTAGCTAACTTTTAATTCTGCCAGCTGTTCCTTTGTCTTTTTTGCCCGGATACCAAATGAATCAGGATTCACCAATGCAGTTTCATGCTTGATTAACTGAGGAGTTGGAGTTGGGGCTGGGGCTGGGGCTGAGGTTGGAGCTAGGGCTGATGCTGGCACTGGCGCTGGAGCTGGCGCTGGGGCTGGGGCTGGGGCTGGAGTTGCAGCTACTGGCTTTGTTTCTGCAATAGCCTGAGCACTGTGCACCTGACTTTTCTGCATATGAGTTTGATTTGGAACTCCTGCAACTGTCAAAGCTATAGGTGTTGTTACTGGCAATTGGTTAGTGCCAGCTACTTGTGTAAGGACCAGACCTGGCTGACCAACTATTTGGCATGTCTGTAAAATGGAAGGTAAACCATTACTAGCTGCTGAAATGTGTGTAGGAATCACTGTTATTGTTTGTGGTACAGTATGTACTGTGCCATTGAATTGTTTTCTCCTTGCCTCCTCTACTTCTTCTGGAGTCCAACTAACACCATGTTTCAGGCGTTGGGCTGAAAACCATATCTTGATCTGTTCCTCTGTATATTTTGCTTGAGCAGATAGAACTGTAATTTCAGACATTGTTGGGTAAGGGAATTTGTTGTAGGTGTTGAGCAAAAGGGGATTGTTATCCAAAGCAGCATTATAGGTGGGAATGCTGTTAAGAGGGATTAAAACTTTAGGAATCAAGTTAGAATTCTGCTGAGCTGACATAGCTGCTGTTATCACCTGTGCTAGCCCAGGCTGAAGAACTGCTGCTGGGGTAACTACTGTATTTGTGGTATTTGGATGTATACTATTTACAACAGAAGTACTTGTATTAGACTCAGATGCTGATGAAGTTGGATTTTTTACTACTTCTTCATGACCTGATTTAGTTTCGTTCTCTTTCTCTTCTGGAATGTCTTCAGAGTTATGGAAAACTGCAATCCGTTTATTCTCTACTTTATTTTTCATCATTTTCATTATTGGAGTTTTGCTGATAGAAATCCCTGATGAGGGAGCTTCTATAGATTCTACCTGATCTGAATTATCTTCTTTTACAAAACTACCATCAAAAGTCAGATCATTAATTGTTTGCTCAAAGATTGTCTGATTATTTCGTTTTACCATAGTCAGCTTAAAATTCTCTTCTCCAGGATGATATTTCAAATTATGCTCAGAAAGCGCATCATATCTTTTGGTAAGAAAATTGCATTCAACACAAACATAGGATGAATTTAACACTATATTGGGATGTTCTGAATCTACATGAAAGGTAAACATGTTAAGATCTGGCGTTTGAAAAGTACAATATTTACATTCATAGCCACCTTCAACTTTTTTATTTTGTTGATTGTCAGAATCTACAAGTTCTTGAACATCTTCATCACTTGAGATACTTTCTGCTGCTGCATTTTCTATTGGTGTAAGTACAGGCGGACCTTCATCCAAGTCTGATATCAATTCTAGGTCCGGATCCTGTTCACTAGCAAGGACCATGCAAGGTGTTGTTGATTTTCTTTTGCTTGCCATTCTGTTTCTGTGGGGAAATCTCAACTGTGATTAGAAGGCAATGAAGATCAAACTCCTTCAGTTATCTTCATTTGAAAAAAATGGCTTTTGGTTCTATAAGTCCATCCCATTTGCAACTTTTTCATAGTGCAATCAAGAAAAGAGCTTGTAGTTGGTAGCTGCAAAGCTGAGTTGCTGAAGCTTCTGAAGCAAACATCCAATCACCTACATTAAAGAAAACAAGTTTTACAGTGAATAATTATGGTTTTTTTAAATGAAGTACAGTAACACTATAGAAATCAGCTATAAAACACAGACAAAGGCCAGAAATTATCAGTAATCATCCTGTTTATAACAGCTGACACTTTAAGGTTTGTGTATATATGTACATATGTATATATTCAAATTTGATCCTTTGAGAAAATTAAGCAAAATGGTTATCACAAAGTTTATACAATGTATTAGAGCTGAAGTACTTTCTTTAGGGGAGAACTACTTTGGCTCTCATTCAGAGCCCATTTACCAAACTTGTCAGAATTTTGTAAAAATATAAGAGTAACCTGGCTTCCTGGACCAAATAACAAGGTGAAAAAATATGCAAACACACAGATAGCAAGGAAATTATACCTGACTGTGAGGAAAGAGACAAAAAAAAGTTAAAAAAAAAACTAGACATAACTCAGAAAGCAGAATCTAAGACCCTTAAACATAGGGAAAAATAGCTTTTCCATACCTTAAAAGGCCCTAAAGTAGATCACAGTGGAACACAAAGATGTTCATAATAATCACGTTGAAGATTGTTAAGAACTTCAACAGTCTCTTTGGTTTTTTAATTGGAAAGGAAATCTCTAGGTTACATACACTCTTTATAAACAAATGACCATCTGGAAAACCAAATCAATAAATATTTATCAAGCACCTGCTCTGTGTCCGGTGTATGCTGGGCATCAGGGATACAAAGACAAAAATGAAATCGTCCTTGCCGTCAAAGAGTTTGCATTCTATTGGGAAGATATTTACATATATGCAACATAAAAATAAGGTAAATTTTGGGTAATAAAGACTCTGGTAGCTGGGGAGAATGGGAAGGGAAAGATTTCATGTATAAAATGGTGCTTAAGCAGTGTTGAAGCAAACAGGGATTCTAAGAAACTGAGGTAGCAGATGAATATTCCCAATATTTGGGAACAGCCAGTGCAAAGGTCAGAAGACAGGAGATGTCCTGTGTGAGGAAAAATAATAAGTCTGGCCAAAAGAGTGTAGAAAGTGGAGTAATGTAAAATAACAATAAAAAGGTAGTTTGGAACTAGGCTATGAAATTCTCAAATTCACTTCCTGATTCCAATTACACATAGGATTTCCCTCCCCTTCACTATCTAATGCTTCCTTGGACCCCCATACCATTACTTCTACTCCTCCCCACCCATATGCTGGTTTTTTCTGGCAGTGTCCCTCAACTAATCCATTTCACCTAACCTTAACTCCTCCCAAAAGGCCAGGTACTGCTTCTGTCCCTAAAGCTTGCACTCTTGCTCTGGTTCCTGGGTTGAAACAACCAGGACAAGATATCCTGAATAAATCAATCTTATTTTATTAAAACATTCTCTATAGGATCTATGGGGAAAAGGAGAGACAGATGTTAGAGCATGAAGTTGAAGAGAATTTTAACCCCTGAAAGTTGGTGAGGGAAAATGGCAGCCAGAATTCAATAATCTGAAAAAGAAAAGAAGGTAGCTGGGGAGCCAATCCAGGTTAGAGAAGCAGTGCCAGAGGCTTACACCAGGAGGAAGACCAGGACCTAGATTTTTACTTTTGTCTCTTGGGACTCCTTTCCCCCCTCCTCAGAATCCCCATTATACACCTTCACCTCTGACCTGAGTTAGGAATGTGAAACTAATAGTTGGGACCTGATGGAAGTCCTGTCTTTCAACAGGTATGGATGGAAATGGTAGAGGGAAGGGAGTCCTTGACTCTCTGCAGAGATAGGAGATATTTCTGGAATTCCAAGTTGAAACTCTCAATGAATTTTCCTTTAAAATATTTTTAATTTGCATTTAACACTAAAAGAAAAAAAATTCCCTATACACAGCAGAAAAAGATTATTTCTATATAAATTTCTAAATCTTATATTATACATGGCTTGCTTTTCTTCTATGTAAACCTGTAGATATTTAATTTATTATTTAAAAATATGTTTCCATATTAGTCATGTTGTAAAAGAAGAAACAGGTAAAAAATGAAAAAAAAATAGTGAAATAGTATGCTTAGATCTGCATTCAGACTCCATCAGTTCCTTCTTTGGATGTGGATAGCATTTTTTATCATGCATCCTTTGGAACTGACTTGGATCACTGTATTGCTGAAAACAGCTAAGTCACTCATAGTTGATCACTGTACAGTATTACTGTTACTGTGTATAATGTTCTCCTGGTTTTGCTCACTTCACTTTGCATCAGTTTGTCTAAGTCTTTCCAGGTTTTTCTGAAATCATCCTGCTCATTATTTCTTACAGCACAATAGTATTCCATTACTATCATATACCATAACTTGTTTAGCCATTCCCCAATTGATGGGCATTTCCTCAATTTCCAATTCTTTGCCACCACAAAAAGAGCTGCTAGAAGTATTTTTTTTTACAAATAAGTGCTTTTCCCTTTTTTAAAAATCTCTTTGGGATATAGACCTAGTAGTGGTATTCATAGCTTGCTTTTTTTTTTTTTTTTGCTTTTTGGTGAGGCAATCAGGGTTAAGTGACTTGCTCAGGGTCACACAGCTAGTAAGTGTCAAGTGTCTGAGGTCACATTTGAACTCAGGTCTTCCTGACTCCAAGGCTGGAGTTCTATCCACTGCACCACCTAGCTGCCCCTCATAGCTTGCTTTTTAAAGAAAAATGTAATAAATTCAAAACATTACTTTCAACACTATCCTGCCTGTTTGTATTTTCTTCTGCAGGTGCTTCTGTTTTCTTCTGAGAATTTTCTTTTAAATATTTTAGTGACTCTTTTGGGGGGCAACTCTTGCTTTCTTTCACATCTCAATATTCTCCCCATTTGAAAAAGAGAAATAAGACCCTTGTAACAAATAAGCGTAGTCAAGAAGCTGTGTAGAAAAGCAGCTGGGGGGGGGGGCAGAGCCAAGTTGGCAGAGTAAAAGCAGTGACTTGCTTGAGTTTTCCTCCAAACTCCTCCAAATACCTACAAAAAATGGCTCTAAACAAATTCTAAAGCAGCAGAACCCACAAAAAGAGAGAGTGAAACAAATTTCCAGCCCAAGACAGGTATATTGCACCAGGCAGTGAGAGCAGCGCAGTTTGGAATGGGTGCACAGGCCGCAGCGAACCTGGAGCAGGCCTCACACAACTGAATCGCGGCCAGCTGTGGCAGTTTCAAGACTTCTCAACCCATGAACACCAAAGATAACCTAGAAGGTCAGTGGGAAAAGTCTGTTTCTGCAGTGGTGAGAGAGGAGCAGGGGTCTCAGCTCCAGTTCCTGAGAGCGCAGCCCTGGGGTGATGGCTGCCTCCTGAACTTCTGGCCCACAGACTGAGGGGGGAATCAAGTGGCTGATCAGAGGGGGATTACAGGGATCTCTCTGCTGGTGCAGGATTCTCTTGCTTTGCCCGTGCTTGGATCTGGATCACAGTTCTGGGTCACGGTCCTGGGGCGAGAAGGAGCGCTGGTGTGGTGGAGCTTGTAGTGGCTGTGAGAGGAAACTCTCACAGTTCCAAGGCAGAAAAGAGTGCTTGTGGTCCAGAGCACAGGCCAGGAAAGGAGTAAACACCTAGCCCTTGATCATAGCACCTTGGAAGAACTGAAAATGTATAGGTCCCTAGAAGTATCTCTGAAAACAGCTGCACAAAACCCCTGAAGCTTGGGACAGTACATTCTCCACACTGGAAACAGACTCCTACCTTAACAAAGAGTTTGTAACTCAAGTAATTGGCCAGGATCATGAGCAAGCAGCGCAAAAAGAGTCAGACTATATTATCTCACTTTGGTGACAAAGAAGATCAAAATGTACAACCAGAAGAAGCCAATGAAGCCAAAGTTCCTACATCCAAAGCCTCCAAGAAAAATATGAATTGGCCCCAGGCCATGGAAGAGCTAAAAAAGGATTCTGAGAAGCAAGTAAGAGAATTAGAGGAAAAACTGAGACTGATGCTAAAGGAGACCCAAAAAAATACTGAAGAAAATAACACCTTAAAAAACAGCCTAACCCAAATGGCAAAAGAGGTCCAAAAAGCCAATGAGGAGAAGAATGACCTAAAAAGCAAAACTGGCCAAATGGAAAAGGAAGTCCAAAAGCTTACTGAAGAAACTACTTCCTTAAAAATTAGAATGGAGAAATTGGAAGCTAGTGACAATTTGAAAAATAAAGGCACTGTTACATTAATCCAAAAGAATGAAAAAATAGAAGAGAATGTGATATATCTCACTAGAAAAACAACTGACCTGGAAAACAGATCTTAAAAACTTAAATATTATTGGACTATCTGAAAGCCATGATCAAAAAAAGAGCCTAGACATCGTCTTTCAAGAAATTATTGAGGAAAACTGCCCTGATATTTTAGAACCAGAGGGCAAAATAGAAATTGAAAGAATCCACCAATCACCTCCTGAAAGAGATCACCAAAGGAAAACTCCTAGGAATATTGCAGCCAAAATCCAGAGCTCCCAGGTCAAGGAGAAAATATTACAAGCAGCCAGAAAGAAAAGTATTGTGGAAACACAATCAGGATAACACAAGATTTAGCAGCTTCTACAGAATTAAGGGACCGCAGGGCATGGAATATAATATTCTGGAGGGCAAAGGAGATAGGACTATGACCAAGAATCACCTACCCAGAAAAACTGAGTATAATCCTTCAGGGTAAAAAATGGTCATTCAATGAAATAGGGGACTTTCAAGAATTCCTGAGGAAAAGACCAGAGCTGAATATAAAATTTGACTTTCAAATACAAGACTCAAGTGAAATATAGAAGAGGTAAACAGGAAAGAAAAATCATAAGAGACTTATTAAGTCTGAACTGTTTACATTCCTGCATGGAAAGATGATATTTGTAACTTATGAGTCCTTTGTCAGTATTAGGGTAGTGGGAGGGAAAAAAAATTTTATGTATGAGTTGAAGATGAAGGGGTGATATCTGGAAAATAAAATTAAGGAGTAAGAGAGGATTATACTGGGAGAAGGAGAAAGGCTCCCGAGAAGTAGAATGGAGTAAATT